GTAGTAACAAGAAGCTATTAGTAACAAGTGCATCGCTACTAGTAACACGTGCCTTACTGGTAGTAACAATGTTTGCTAGTAGAAACAAGTGCATCGCTAGTAGTAACAAGTGCTTTACTGGTAGTAACAATATTTGCTAGTAGAAACAAGTGCATCGCTAGTAGTAACAAGTGCCTTACTGGTAGCAACAATGTTTGCTAGTAGAAATAAGTGCATCGCTAGTAGTAACAAGGGCCTTACTGGTAGTAACAATGTTTGCTAGTAGAAACAAGTGCATCGCTAGTAGTAACAAGTGCCTTACCGGTAGTAACAATGTTTGCTAGTAGAAACAAGTGCATCGCTAGTAGTAACAAGTGCCTTACTGGTGTAACAAGAACGCTACTAGGAGCAATTTCAAGTATTTCAGAAAATCGTACTAAGGCCATGGTCCTCACGATGCTGAGTCGCACCGCAGGCAGCGGGCGATTTGCGCTAACTTTTTGCCTTCCTGGCTTTCTATTCTTTCTGCTCAACTGCTTCAGCATCATGTTTTGCAGATGCATCCATGACATCCTTAACTATTTGTTGACTTGTGGTGCAGGACGTGCTGCCATGCAGGCCAGCAGTCATGGACTGTTGTACGCTGGTTTCTTCCCTTTGCTAAGTCAAACATTGGTAGGATAGGGGACATGGCTTGCTTTGCTATCAGTTTTGCCTTGCATAGCAGGCAGCACGAGCTCCCGTGACTCTTGCTGGCAACAATATGGCTGTCAGGATTGTGGATTTGTGTGAGACAAGGAAACCGTGTGTGTGTGTGTGTTTGGCAAGACTTTGGAATCATGCTTCAGGAGCATCTGCATGACCCGGCCGAAGCTTGGTGGTGATTATGACTTCCGTCTTGGTGTGTGCATGCCTTGGAGACAGAGGAAGGAGGAACGCTTTTGCAAGAAGACTTTGAGACAGAGAAAGAAGAGGAAAGAAATGCATCGCTACTAGTGACAAGGGCATCACTACTAGTAGCTAGAAGCTACTAGTAACAAGGGCATCGATACTAGTAACAAGGAGGAAAGAAGTTGAAAGAAGTGCAGTTCCCAAAGGGTCACCGTCTCAGGCCGGGCAGCCGAATCCGCAACCCTGATCCAGAAGGCATGTCGTGGCATTGTCGTGGCTTCTTTTCGGTGTAGCGGATGTAGCGGCTGCAGCCAACTGGAGCCAGAAGCAGAAGTTGTTGCTAGTTGTAGCTAGTAGTGCTCCAAGGACGCAGAAGAAGCCTTCGTAAAGGACAGTTCCAAGTGAGACAAGACAAACAGAAGGGAGCTTTGAACTTTGGTTGGTCGCAAAGGCTACAATGATCTGAATCCTGGTATGGGCTTTGGTTGGTGGGCTTTGATCGTGACTTCTGCCCAGACCTCTGTTGCTGTTTTGTTAAAGCCAAAACTACTGCAAATCTTGGTGAACTAAGTTGTGCTGCTTCTTCTGGGGGAACACGTGCGCACACTGCAGCTTTAGCTTTTTCTCCGAGAGTGAAGACTCTTTGATTATAGACAGTTATATTTTTTTAAATCACTGCTGATTTAGCTGTAGTGCTTTGCAAGCAGGTACGATCACTCACGTGGTATTACGATTGCTGCTGGACTCTTTGGCTGGAACCTCACAACAAAGCCGAACCGGGGCGACAAGATGCGAAGAGCATACTGATTGCCTTCCACATTGCCTTTCCCCGCCAGCGGAAAGAGAGTTTGACTCGTTTTTTATTTCCGGTTCTGTCGGATGAGGTCCAAACATGCCCATCTGAGAGACAAGGAATCAAAGCCCGCCTGACAGCAATATGTGGCAGCCTTTAGTATGCAGATTTCTGAAAGGGAACAATCACGAAGATTAATGAAGGCAAGGCTTTAGGATTGGACAGCCCTGGTTTTGGTTATGCTTGAGTGTGGTGACAGGTGTTTTGTGGAAGCTTGGCTGGCTTAGCCGTAGGTTCTAAGGTTGCCAGGCCACGGAGTTCTGACGCTGTAAATTTGGCCGTATTCTAACCGGCCAGTTTAAAGCCTGGGGCCAGTGGCCTGTTGAAGGAAAGAAGAAAACAAAGTGCAAAGATAATCGGTTTGTAGTCAAAAGATGACATTGCATTCGCAAAGTTATGCCTTAATACTTCAAGTGTTGCATAGAGTTTGCGCTGATCGTTCATTGTCCGCTTCCAGCCAGAAAATAGCAAGTGAAATGCATCTCATGGATCCTGTGCTGCTTGGAGCCTGCAAGAATGTCACCACGTTTGAACTGGCGAGGTTCTGGTGTTCTAGCAGTCCTTGGTGTATATGCAAAACAAGCGCAGGTGGTGCGTGCAGCAGTTCGCCAAGATGGTCATGCCTTGCAGGATGCCCAATTCTAGAACAGAAGTAGACAGAACGACATTCTTGTACGAGATTGGACTACATTCCCTTACCTCTGGAGGCTTGTTTTACACTGTCAGTAGAAGGCAGACTTTTTCTTTTTATCATTTGCCTGAGGCAATTCGCATGCCAAGAACTGCGAAATAACGCAGACATTGTCTTGGAAGCAGTGCGGCAGGATTGTTGACAGTGATGTTGACAGTGATTATTCCAGCATCATGGCAGAATCAACCACGGACTGCCATTTTTTGCAGTTCGACATTTTGCCTAGAGACCAACTCTGCCTTTCCCTGCCTGTTTAAGTGCTGTAGCCATTCCAAGTGCTTTAGCTGAAATAACTTTGAGACATTTGAGGATACACTTTTTTGCAAAAGGATGGGCATGCACTTGTCTATGCATCGCCGGCCTTGAAGGCAAGGCGCCAGATTTGCTCGACTTATTACTATATACTTATTACTATATTCGAAAGATTGTGGGAATGATACTTTGAGAGTTTGCTTGGGCAGGCAAGAAAAGAGTTAGTCCTTGAGGCTGTGCATCAGGACAGGTCGGTTTGTGGCTCTTTCCATGACTTCCCTGGAAGAGGGTACATTTTGTGCTGACTGGACTGACAAGTCCCCGTGACGACATGGCACTTGGTGCGAGGGGTTCGTTCCACTTAAGCAGAAGCCTCCACAGATTGAGGACGGTCACTCCATGGTCTTTGCAGATGTTGCGCTTCGCGCAGCCTGGCTTTGGGAGATGAGAGGGGTTCATAATTTGGTAGAACAACTCGAGAAAGGGCCTCTACGAATTGCAAGCCAGCAGTTTTGAGTTTCGATCAGAGGAGATTTGCAATTTAGGGGCTCCTGGCATCGCTACTAGGAGCAAGGACGCTACTAGAACATGTGTCTCATGTTTTCTTTTCAGACCAAATCGTGTTTGCCAAAAGGTGCCGATTCGCAGCAGCAGACCGAGGAAGACAGGGATGTGGTTCTGGAGGCTGTCCAGCAGGTGCCTTGGAGTATACCATACCAGAGTGCAATGGCCAGCTCAAACAGCGCCATCCGTATTTGCAGGATGGCTACGCTTTGAGCTATGCTTCTGCTGCACTTAGAGCCGATAGAGAAGTTGTACTTGAGGCAATGGATCAGAAGCAAGCACTAATTCACTACTGCAACAGTCGGTAGCACGAATTGGTGTACGTAGCTGTGCAGTTGCTGTGCAGGCTGTACGAAGCACTGGCTATGCTCTGCTGTTTGCGGATGAGAAGTTCCGCGCAGACAAGGCGAACATGCAGTCGTTGCCGAGCTTTGTCCATGGGAGCATCCATGCGTTCCTTGTTCCAAACGAACAAAGCATGAACACCCAAAGGCTGCAGGGTTCCACAACAAAACACGCCGGCAGAGCAATTGCTTAGTGCAAGGATTGCAGCCATTTTTACTGTGATGCTTTCAGGATGCTTTAGCCAATAAATACGGCACAAGACTAGAGACTAGAGCTTTAACAAGCGCTTTGGTGTACTTTTGCCAGACAAGATATGATATGACTTTGATATGGCTTGATTCGATGCGAGAGTGCAGAAAGCGAGCCAGTGCTTCAAGTCTCTCGCAACAATTTTCCTTTTGAGGAGGTCATGTTCGAAGCTGTCCAAAGTAACTGGCAAGCTTTGGGCTATGCATCACCAGAGCTCAGGACATTATGTTTGTGGCTTGTGGATCTAAAGCACACCTTGACAGCAAGCTGTGCTGCGGTTCAGCTTACAACTGCAAAGTCACGGCTGCCTGCAGGAACGATAGGGATGTCGTGAAAGCGGCGGTGGCCACCAACAGGTCCTCACAGCCGAGCACAGATAGGAGAGGATACCCTAGGAGCGATGGCCTCCAACCTAGTAGCGATGGCCTCCACCCTAGGAGCGATTCTAATAGATAACATTTATCAAACAAGCTGTTGGGTCGTCTTCTGGGTGAGGCAAGCCCTGGCAATGGTCAGTGAAGAGCTCCGCAAGGATCCTGCAATCGTTCAGGAGGCAGGTTGGCGGGGTGAGTTTGCGCAGTCCCTTTGTTTAAGACTATTTATTTTTTGGATGCTCTCGACACTCTACTACTTGCAAGAATGCTACTAGCAGTGACTTGTGAGAAGTTCCTGTCGTCTAGTTTGACAAGCTAAGCTATGTTCTGAGCAGAGGGAGCAAGCTATTGCCACGAGGCTTTGCAGGCAGACGGCCATGCTTTGGTTTATTTGAACCAGACGCAGCAAGCTGACAAGGCGCGCTGAGTGTGGCTAGTGCAGCCACAGTATAGCCAGGAATGTCACACTCAAGTATGCCTTTTGGGGAGCTGATGAATCTCAACGTGCAGGCGATTGTCGCAGCTGCGATCAAGCAGGCCTGGGATTTAGATTTGTTTGGTTATATAAATCATTTTGATTGGAGCAGTCCAAGTGTGGCTTGGTGCTTCAGGATGGTCATGCAATATCCTATGCATCACAGCAGTAGGGAGCTCAAGAGAAGCACTGCAATCGTTCTTTTGGAAGCGGTGCAACTTAGGATTCGCCGTGACTTGGACATTGCTATGCAGGATTGGTGAGATTTACATAGCTTATGTGTCTTATGTGTACTATTTTCCACCCAGAGTTATTGGGGTTCTTACCTCAAGTTTAGAAAAAGGTGTCTGTGTGCGCTTTAAAGGTTGGGTGGTGGTGCCGCTGCAGGGTGCGGCTCCAGGGTGCTGCTGCGAGGTGTTTGTATCTGTGTGTGTTTGTATCTGTGTGTGCTTTGGAGCCTGGGTGCTGGTGCAGCGTGCTACCCACAAATGTTTTTGCTATTTGGGGTCTAGTCTATGACGGAATTGTTGTGTCAAGAATTGAAGCGCGCTCTGAAAGTTCCTTTTTTTTCTCAGAAGATCTGTGCAGTCAACTTACTCCCACACATTTTGGTTCGTGTGGACCTTGGCACAGGCAGTTTCTGAGGATGGAATCACTTTGGGCTTGTTGCCACAGGAGGTACCGATACTGACGGCACTTTTCAGAAAGTTTGCGGTGCGTGAGATTCATGACAGGTGCAAGCGAACAAATCAGTGGCGCTGCGAGCAATTGAGAGCAACGTCAAGGCCAGCCAATTCTGCACCTTTCTCTTTTTTCGTGCCGTGCAGTCAAAGTCTAGCTTTCACGCTGCAAAGTTGCAGGCCTTTCAGAATGTGTCGGAGGACTTTTTACACAAAGCAATCATCACGTCCGTGTGGCATGATAGATGCACAAAAGGTTCTGGTGTTAATAATTGCACAGGGTGGGGTTTGCTGGGTTTGGGGACTAATTGTGCCTGTCCTCACTATGGAACACCTTCAGAGCAGACAAGAATGTACTTGAATTCAGCTGTCAAGCTTCCACAATAGACGGGGAAAAGCAACCCCGTAGGGCCGATTCACAAGAATCTTGGCACCTGCGAATGGCCCTTTTTTCCAAAGGCCCTTGTGCCCCAAAGCTGAATATTTTTGAAGAGCCTGAACTCCTCTGCCAGTGTGAGCTGGTGAAATCAATTCACAGTCCGGCCCTTGCAAAGCGACGTAAAAGTGCGGTCATGATAGCAACACCTAACAAAGAGTTCTGACGGCAATGTAATGCACAGCAGAGGCGGAGACCGAGCTTTTATTTGTGCAATGAAGGGACGGGTGCATTGCGTAATGCATCCAAATGCGCTGCAAGACTTTTGCATGGTGCAATTTTCTCTTCAGGAATTGTGTGAGTGTATGATCTGCAAGGAACGGAATCAGGGGATTCAGAACCCACTTCAATGGGCTGTGGAAGGTTGGCAGAGGTTGTTGGTATGGAAATGCTATATGAGCTATATATATATATAGGTATTTAAATGTAGATTTCCAAAAAACTTTGACTGGTAGAGGCTTTTGGAGAACAGTACTGACAAGGTTGAAAGCCTCGAAAGCAGAGGAAAGTGTTGAACCTCTAGAAAGTCAAGAAGAATCAACAAAAACAGTAACTTCTAGGGCCCAGTGTCAAAAAGTAGCGCTTTCTACAGTCACATCTTGAAAGGTAGAGGTTTGTGGAGAAGAGTCTCGAAGAGTAGAGGATTGGGGGAAATTACGAATTAGGAGATATTTCAGGAGAAGTAGACGCTTCTAGACTAAATGTCATAAAATTAGATGGAGATTCCTACAGAAATGTTTCCAAAAGTAGGGCATTTTAGAGAACAGTCGACAAGTGAAGATATCTAGAGAAAAGTATCGAAAAAGGAGAGGCTGGAACGACAGGTATCAAACAGCAAAAATTTCTTTCACTGCACGGCAACACGGATTGCCGCCTAACACTCCACCACATGATAAACCACCACACCACACCACCACCTAACACACCCCACTTTACACTTCACTACATCACAAAACACATCACCACCGGGTCTATCGTTCACTGCCCACGTCAGAGATCACCACACCACAGGTTACAGCACTACCACCACTACCTCTCAAATCTCGACCAATCAAGTTCAACAGCACAATCAGTATGGCAAAGCCAAGAAACCAACAACTCTTGTATCCCGACAAACCCGCCAATTGACAGGAACAGACAATGCCCAAGCATGATTATTTTGTAGAACAAACACAGTCAAAAAGGACATGATCACTGAACCTGCAAGGTGAAAAAGACCTTGAGCATGCAGCTTCAGAGTCTCTGGAGAATTTGTTGTGTAAGCTTATCCAATATGTTGCCTTCTCATGCTGCTTGGCGAATCAGACCCGCTTTTGGGCACCCCAATGCCACCCGACATTTTCTCAGACATTCTGGGACTGCTTGAGATCACCTTTTGAGCATCCAACAAAATAAACAGAGGTTCAAAACAACTACCACTCACAGCAACCAAGTCCCCCTCGATGGCTTGGCTGGCTTGAGTTGGCTTGGCTGGCGTTTTTCCTACGGAAAGGCAGGAGGGGGCGGCGCAGCGCCTCCTGCCCGCCCCAGAAATCATAGTTCCCTTTGCACCATTGTATTTTCCAGCCCCTAGTAGCCCTAGTAGCGTCCTTGCTCCTAGTAGCGATGCCAGGAGTCCCTGGTAGCGTCCTTGCTATTGACCGGGCCCAAAAGAAAGACAAAGCCAATTCCAAACCCCTTGCCCAGGAGCTAAAGCGTGATGAGGATGTCCAGGAAGCCATGTTGGCCTCGGAGCGATACGCGCTCCTTCACTCCGTCAAGGTGGGATGTGACGGATGTGGTTCGTGTCAAGCCATGATGGTCAGGTTCGCGATTTGATGGCCTAGTTGAAATTTGTATTACTAGGGGCACATAGATCCATCATGGCGCACTGGAGATCATCAGAGATCACGCAATGCTTTCCCAATCCTTGTGCTGTCTATGGAAATGCGGGCTGTAGTGCAACAAATTTTGCCTAGGGCCAGGGCAAAATTGACTGAAGCTGCTTCCCTTCAGGGCCAAGTTGGCCATGCATGCTACCATTCGAGTGTCCTTTTCAAAGGTTCTGGGCTCCAACCTAACCTTTCTTGAAAGACCGATTCATTGATCAAAGGAAGCTTTAAAGGGAGAGTTCTGACTCAAATGAAGTTGCAATTGGCATAATTGGTGTGTGCATTATCGTGGGCGCGAAACTAAGAGAGACGTCAGGGGCTAAAATGGCACGCAATCCAGAAATGCTACGGCTGCAGGGCGGTTGGGGGGTGTCTTTGTTCCGGGTGCGTTGTCGGGGCTGCAGAAGATGGGCCAAAAGAATGCTCATGTTACTTGTAGCTTCTAGCTACTAGTAGTAATGCCCTTGTTACTAGTAGTGTTGCCCTTGCTACTAGTAGCTGCCGCGCAGTTCTGTTGATCGGAGGTTTCAAGGCAGTGTCAGGGCTCCGCGACAGACAAAAACATCATTGGGCAGGGAGGCTTTGTATTGTGAAGGATATATATATATATATGGTACCCCCCCCCAAAACCTATGTTCACCTCACTTTTGCTGGTATTTGCAATATTTTGTGTCTGTTTTTGGCGCCTATATATATACATATACATTTGTGCAGGTAGCTTATTTGTCCAGAGTCCAGAGATTTTAAGTTCCGGCATGTTAAATAACTTTGGAAGGAATGCGTTCAGAATGCATTCTTGATCAAAACCAAGATCCAAGATTCCCACAAGACTCCTGGCTAAAATCTTGGATTGATACAGTGATAAAGGATGTTCCCAAATCCAAGATTTTCCACAAGACTTCTGTGCAAATCTTGGATCTTGGATCTTGGTTTTGGGAAGGAATGCATTCTCTGGCATTCTCTGGTAGTGACAAAATTGCACTACTAAGTACATTCTGGTCTTCAATCTGTCATCTGGTAAGATTATCCAAGCGTCACTCTGAGGAATTATCACTTACAATATCTCCCTGTGAGCGCGAAAGGCTCAAAAAAACTAATCTTGTCTTGTTCCTCCGGGCCCATGGCGATGCACATTTCGGGCACAGTGCAGTGGACCAACGGGCAGGCGCCGGGCACTAAATGCATCATACATCTGTTTCAACACAGCTGCTCCTCATGCAACCCTCAAATTGGTGCTCTCGACCTTTCGTTTCCGTGACTGTCAGGCATTACTACACTTGCAGCCCGTGGCGGGCCAGGAGGCCAAGGTCACTATGACGCGACCGGCCACGAGCACCGTCTTGGAGAAAGTGTCGTCCGGCACTTGGGCCGCTCACCCTACCCGCTTGCCCTTGCAGAAGAAATGGATCACCAACGCGCTGAGCACCATTCAACGGCAGCTCTTGCTCAAGCCGGGGGCCACAGGAGACTGGACAGATGAAGCTCAGCAGCGCTTCGAGGCGTTACTGACCAATCATATATTGAACAAGGCTCCTGCCACCCTGGCAACCCAAGACATTCAGCAAGGGCAGTCTTCCGCAAGCTCCTCCGCGCCCAAGGCTCAAGGATAAGAAGAGTTCTTCTTCAAGCTCCTCTTCGTCAAGTTCATCTTCGATGGAGTCCGGTGATGAAGGCTCGGAGGCGAACCGGTTGAAGGCGGAGGTGGAGAAAAAGACGCAAGAGTTCGAGGGGTTCGAGGCAATTTTCGACACCCTTCACGCCACTCAGGCAGAGCTGGCCGAAGCCGAGGAAATCATCAAAGGCAAGAATGCTGAGATTGCTTACCTCCAACAAGAGATTGAACACCTCCGCGCCCAGTTAGAGGAGTCGGATGAAGAAATGACATCGGATTGATCTGCCTTGCTCTGCTTCTCAACCGAGTGTCGCACCCTGCCATCCATCGCATTCTTGCTCTCAACCACAAGGCCATCGACGATATGGAGAAGCGGCTGAATCATCTTCGCAAGGGGTGGGTGGAAGAGAAGGAGCAGTCAATCATCTTTGGAAATGGCAAGGATTGGACAGATGTGGAGGCAGATGAAGCCACCTTCTCAAGCACAGACCTGAAGCATTTGGCCGACAACCCCGAGCAGCCCATCATCTGGGAACAATGGTGTGGCGTAGGTTATCTCCCCAAACGTCTGCTCGGAGAGCGCCTGGTCCAGGTGCAATCAGGAAGGTGGAGTGGCGTCCTCTAGCCACCAAGCACCTCCAGGATCGCGCCATCGTCCTCCACACGGACGCCGCCAAGTCGTACAAGCTGAAAGTGAGTGGCGTTCTCCACGACCAGGTGCGGCGCTGCAAAAAGCGTGTAGAGGTCAAAGGCAAATGGATGTGGAAAATGCCTACTTATGTGAAGATTGCTACCCATAAGGGCCCAAAGACTGGTCGCCAACTCAAGACCAAAGGCGGTAGCCAGATCATTGATCGTGCCTGGCGCTTTCTCAAAGATCGGATTCAATTGAATCAACATTGCCAGGTAGGGAGTCGTCTTTTGCGGTTGAGAATCCGCAGTGCACAGTGCTGGCACAGAAATTGTGATCTGTGGACTGCTTCTGCTACCTTGTGCACATGGCACTTTGCCAAGTGAATTTTGTCTGACTGCGAGGAAAAATTGCGTCTGCAAAGTACGTCTGAGAAATGTGTCTGCAACGTTCTTGCTGTCATATCATAACATCTGTCTCTGGCACATCACAAAATCATACGGAGTAACACCAGGACTCAGAAACATTTTTTTGGGAGTAACATATATATATATACTTATACATGTAAGGACTTGTCGTGGGCCCTTACAAGATTTCGACTTGCAAGCGCATGCAATCATAGCAAGACTGAGGTACGGAATCACTGCATATGATTATGATTGACATGACATCTCAAACAGACTCATTGGGGCCCAAATGGCTCAAATTCTTGGGTCTATGGGAAAGACTTGAACCCTCAAAAACATTCGAGCATACGTACAGTGTTTCTGTATCTACCCCATCCGAGTAATTTTTTTTTTGCAAATTTTATAGACGCATTGAAGCCGAGTGCAAAATCAATGCACATTCTTGAATTTCTAAATCTTTTTGAGGGAACCCTTCGCATAAATCAAATTGGCACTTGACAAAGTCGTGCGTTGCCATGATTCTGCATCTACCCAATCAGAGTAGATTTGACAAATTCGAGCATATGCAGTGAAGCCTAGGGTGCAAAAACATTGGATATGCTCTTTTTTGAAACTTTGTCCAGGATTCAAATCCTTCCCACAAATGACAAAATGAGAAACTCGACGAACCTTGACGAATTCGAGCTTATTCTCAGTTGATTCTGCACTTTTGGATTGCAAGCACTGCATATGCTCAGATTTATCACTTTTGGAGAGAGTTGTTGAGTTGGTCGCCTTTACCGTCCTTTTGTTGAGCTTTTGACATAACGTGCAAGAGTTTCACAAACAACGCAAATTGAGGGGCCCCTGAAAACACATCTCACATGTCTCAAACACACTGCAAGTGCTAGCAAAATAGGTGGACATTCCTGCGTTTGGGGGATAACGGTATATATATATACTTATAATATTTAATTATGGTACTAGAAAGCAACAACTAGTTCTTTGGCCCAATCCTTAACTTCCCTTCCACACTTGCCAGGTTGATGGTTATGCACTGCGCACCGCCTCCAAGCGAATGCAAGCTGACAGGGTGTGCTCGATCTTCTCATCACGTTCGTTTTGGATCATTGTGTTGCCGTCGGTTGATGATTCCTTCGCCACATAGTCCATAGGGCCATAGGACCAAATTCTGCCAGACCCACGTGTGATATGCAGCTTGCATCATTCTTTTCTGCCAATTTTTGAGAGACGTTGCACAGGAGATTGTGCTGGCAGCAGTAAAACAGAATGGAAAGGCTTGGCTTGGAGATTTGTAAACAGACACAACGTGACAGCGCTCGCTATGGTTGCTTTTGGCCACCATGACAGCTTGATCAGAGGTTTTGGTCTTTGCCCCGGAGGAGTTGCGCAAGGACCGTGAGGCAGAGTGTTGATGCCAAAAAGTCTCCAGTTTACCGTTGACATTGGAGCAGAGGTGGTTCTGGCTGCAGTTCGCCAGAATGGTAAGGTGGCCGCCAGCAGAGTCAAGCTCAATTTTGTTGAATCATCGAAGTTCTGTCCACCCTCCCACAACCAAAGACAAGTTTCAGATAGTTTCAGTATTTGCATTCAATCGAATATTCAGTGAGAATCCTGAGTGAGAGATATCGGAAAGCATGCGAGGCTTTGGTCTTCGCCCACGAAACGTTGAAGAACGACAAAGAGGCCCTGCAGCACGCCTTCTTTGTATGGAATGGGCAAGCTGGTAACTCATATGAACAAGACTGTCGAACTGGAGGTGGTGATGGAAGCAGTGGCCGAAGGGGGCCATATAGCGCTGGCAACTCAGTCATTCGACAACATATGTTCCCACACACTTTTGTTTTTGATAGTTGCTTGATCCTATTTCCCCTTGATCTCTTCCGAAGCTCAATCTCGACCTGAGCAGTAAGGCTGTGGCATGCTTCGGAGGAACTCCAGAAGGAGAATAAACAGAGAAATTGCAAAACAAGACGAAGTCGATCAAGTACAGAGTATCCTTTCCCAAGGGACCCATTCTTGTGGGAGTTTGTGCGTCACACAGGATAAGGAAATTCTGCTGGCTGTAAAGTGAGATGAAGTACAGCTGCACTTGCTGTGGAGTTAGCGGCCTGCAAAGCCAGAGTCAGATCGTGGGAAAGAACGCTTACCTTTGTCGCATGTTTTGCAGTGCCGGCAACCGCAGGAAATGAACGGCTTTTGGGGTTCGAGGAACTCTCACAGAAGACTTTTTTGGAACCCTGAGAGCAACTTCTCTGGTACCTTAGGCCGATGTTGCCAAGATGCGCAGCATGGACAGGCAGGGAAGACTACTTGTCATTCTGACCATCGCCAACAATTGCTGCTTCGCCATACCAATGAATTGACAACTCTGGGTACTATAAAGTAGTCAGAATAAGAAAGTATGTGTTTTTCATCTTTCATTTAGTATTTTTCCTCGTCTGTGGACTCTGGACCTTTAGACTTCTTTTTTTCTTTTCCTTTCTTCCTTGCTCTCTTTTAATCTTAAAGGTTTATTTGCATGTGCTTTCCACTTTTGTGTAGCCGTTGCTTGGTTTGGCACATTCTCAAATTGCAGGGAAACCTTCGGAGACGCTCGGCGTCCACCTCGCCCTGGCGGCATGCGCAGGAATCGCGGCAAGGGCAAGGCCAGGACTAGGACACTGCCAAGCGATGCACATCAATTTCCATTCCTTGTACTCGCAGGGATTCCGATCGTGATGGCTCGGCCTGGGATCCTGAGCAGCCTCAGTTCCTGAGACTCTAAAGGATCTGAATGTAGAGTTTCTCTCCTTTCAGAAATAACAACAGCCTGAAGCTGCAAAAGCTTTTCTATGTCCTAAGGATATGCCCGTTGCTGCTGGAACCGCGCGTGGGGGCACCGTGGACTGAGTGAAGCAGACAGATGAAGACCTGACATCATGTGCTCATGGTTTCTGCAAGAGTTCATCCCAAACTCCTCCATATAACTATTCTTGACATTGAGATTCCCAAGTCACTGAGGACTACTTATTGTGTGTGGGTGGCACGTGAGCAGCTAAAGTTGAGGGTGTGCGGTTTTGCTAAGACGCTGACCTGGAATAATGTATGCAGAAAAAGCGTTCGATTCTCTTTTTCTTTTCGGAAGCTTAACTTGAATTTGTCCAGTGAGCGGCATTTTTCTCGTGAGGTTTCATGTGTTTGTGCATGCAATTGCAACACTGGTGTTGCAAAAACAGTGAGAACTTTTAGAGTCAAAGCCGGAGTTCCTAGTGAAGCCAGACAGATCTGAACGGAACCGATGGACTCTACACTGGAGACCCAACCATATTTGCAAGACAACAGTTGATCTATATATCTATTTATACATAGTATCCTCCTCAACAAACTCTTTATGAAGTAGGGAACCTGTTCCTTTACAAAATGACCTTTCAACACTTTTTTCACAACAGCTTTGACAAAAATGACATCCAGGAGCGAGCCTGTGGAAGGTCAAAATAAGAAAAGCATAGTTGTTGCTTGTTCACATTGAGGTGAATCAAGATAGAGACATCCCGACGTTGGTTGTGAATTATATAAACCAGTAATGCTTTTCAGGAATGAAACAATGGTAATGCTGGAAAGACTTGGTTTGTGTCGAAGGTCTAGCGTGACGTTTTGCGATTCTATTCAATTCTCTAGAGTACGGCTATATATATATATACACAGAAAAGTGACATGACACCATAGCTAGTACTGAGCACCATGTACAGTTTTTTCCTTTTGCACTGTTGCACTGAGTGACATCGGGATGACATGGCGCATTCCCTTCATACTTGGTTGAGACTGCGAACGGACTTGGGCTTTGGCTCAAGATGTGTATGGGAGAGACAGATGCATGTGCAAGCGTTTGCTGTGATTGCATTGCTTTGCATATGTCATCGAAACGTTCACACAGACCAGCTTTGTCATTGTTGAACATCGTCCAATGATCGCTTAGAGCTAGCGACCCTTGTCCAACCCCACAGGTGTGTAAGCTGGTTGTCAGCCGCACTCGACCGAGTTGCAGAGACCATCGTTGAACAAGAGCTTGGGTTGGGCTGGAGCTCCCCACACAGTGTTCATTGTGGCTAGAGACTTCAATCACCACCTAGTTTGACATCACCGGCCGCTCCAGCGCGCGTGGACGGCGTTCCCGTCGCGTCGGCGCAGGAAGGGTGGGGAGCGGAGCCCCCAGTCACGGTCCCAGATTAAGCGAAACAACGCGCAGCGAGCCAGCCCAAAAGACTTGAGGAGCCTCACAGCCTCAACGTCGGAACCCTGTGGAGAGTTGAGGCTGGAGAGTGACATTGCCATGGTGCACTGCCTCCTCAAGGTCGAAGATGGAAGAGGGACGCCGGTTGTTGACCAAGATCGCCGAAACTTCCTTGAGTGTGTTGAGCATAAGTCTGGTCGTGTCAATATGCCAATGGTCATGCTCAAGTTGGTAAAGCACTTAGAAAGCCTGACCCTGTGTACTCGTGGTTCTCGATTTTTCTTTAGACCTTCAAGTGTCAAGCGCAAAGGTGTTTGGTGGATTCTCGAAGCCAATACGGACGACGAAACAAGAAACACACTGCGTGACTGTACTGTGAGTTGGGAAGAAGAAGAGGACGAAGAAGAAGACGAAGAAGAAGACGAAGAAGAAGAAGAAGAAGAAGAAGAGGAAGAAGAGGAAGAAGAAGCTGAAACTGAAACGCCCGTGAGCTGCTGAACGATCGTCTACAGTGTCACGCAGTTGCAAAATGCAGACGGAAATGAAAGCCACTCGCCGCACGGCGAACTAGGTAAACCACAATCCTGAAAAACACGTATGTGGTTCTGAGCATCTTGGAGTTCTCGCTGAAAGGGAGGAGGCCCAATGTGTTCAATCGCTCAAAGCACAACCCCGAAAGTCGCGAAGCGGCTGGTCGACGACGGGCGCTCACATCGGCAGGATGCGTTGGCATTGTACTGCATCACGACCTCTTCAACTTGAAACAGCCCCCAAGACTCTAGGAGTGAGGTACACCAGGTTGATCAGACCTGGCTTCCACGATCGCGCATAGCTTCGTTGGCGTGCGGCGCTGCGACTCCAAGGGTTTCGCACTCCCCTGCGTGGGAGGGCCCAAAAGCTAAGGGGCAGACTAATCTGCATTTGCGCGCAAAAAGGACAAAAAGACGAAGACACGAAGAGGAGACGCGACAAGACAAGTGTGTGAGTGGTTGCAAAGACGGGGAAACCAAATGCACAGGGACAACCAGTGAACCATGCCTCATTATCAAGACCTGGGTGACCTGAAACCTGGGTTGAATGTAAATGTGCGCGTGCATGCTAAGGGCCGGACCGATGTGCGCACAAAAGAAGCAACGGAGTGAGATGACAGGACATGAAGGCGGAGAAGACGTGAAGCGAAAAAGGAAAAACGTGTGTGTGTGTGTCTTGCTGATGAACTCACTCAACGGCTTTTGAGAGGTTTCAGTACTGGATGAATGAAGAAAAGAGTTGCCAAGATAGAAGGTTGCGCAAAACCGCCAGTATGTCTGTGACCTCTTTCAGTTTGAGACCAATCCAGGTTGAACAGAAGATGAGTGCAAAAAGTGCCTTCCTCGCATAACCCAATTGGACCTTCTGGGGGCCACCTTGCTGGATACCAGCGTCTTCCATCTATGGTACTCCCGAAGCGCTGTCGTCGCTGGGATTTGTGCCATCGAGAAGCCACGTGAGCAGTAACTTTGGGCGGAGACGGCGCGGAAAAAACATGAAAAAACTAAGCTTTCTGCTTTGAAAGTGGCAAGCGCTTGTACAAAAGGAGTGAAACAGTCAAGCTTACCGCCAGCAACCATGTACAAGGTCTGCGGTTCAACCTTTCTAATATGGATGTGGCCTGGATTGCGTCGGAAGCGAATGCTTGCGTATGAAAGGAAAACCACGCAGGTCTAGTGGAATTTCTAGCTCTATGTATTGCACTTTGCAAGGGTGAGCCCGATTGCATCTTGCCTTCCGTTTACTTGAAAACGGGATTGGACAACTTCCTGGGTTGGTCATGCTCAGTGAACAGTCAGTGAACAGTTAGAGTTATATTCAATATAGATTGTACGGCTGTCTCCAGTAAACAGCAGGGGAGGGGGATGAGTACTTTGAGGCATCCAAGATCTGTCATTCAACAGAGAGAATGAGAGAGAGGGAGAGAGAGAGAGAGAGAGAGAGAAAGATAAAACAATAAAAGACGAGAAAAAGGGAGGGATGGATGGAGGGAGAGCAAGGCAAAGCTTACTTGATATCAACAACTGGTACCCCAAAAATTTCGCCAAACACATTTCTGATGAAGGGTCTGAGTGTGGGAACGCTTTGCCTTTTTTGGCTGCAGCTTTGAATGCTAATTTTTTCATGGTGTAGAATCATGGGCATGAAAACCTGGCGATGGTGCTGACTGCGGCTGTTCGGACCTGAGAAACCAGTCGCCGGATGTTTTTGGAACACTTGTTGTTCGGGAAGGTGTGGCGAATCCTTACGTCGATGTGCGTGTTGGCACGTGCCAAGAGCTAAGGTGCGCTGCAGACATGGGTGCGTGCAACTGTTCCGGTGAGGCGCCGTTCGTTTGAAGGAAGCAACTCGAACATGAATGAGAAACCGACGGCAAATGTTTCAGCCTTGTCTCGAACTGCCCTTGCTTCCGCAGTCTGGCAAATGTGGCGCTGGGAAACCGCCTGTGGTGGCCTGGAAAACATTTATGCGGTACATTCTGTTTGGGCAGGGCGGACTTCTTACTTGTGTAGTGCAACCAATTCATAGGATTGTTCTTTTGTGCAGTAATGGGATCCTTGACGTGCTCAAAACCACGCAGCTGTGCCAGAATACCCATGGTAGATATATATATATATGATATCTTGACTCTTAGGTATGCTACCATGAAAGCGACAGTCCTGCATGTACAGTACATTACAGTAGATTGGCATATATATATATGTTTGTACTAGTTGTATGTAGTTATATGTATTGTATACATATATAATTGTATATATAGATACACACGACACGTGTTTTGGTATGACATATGGCATACAAGACTCTTGTGCTCAAGCTGTAGTGGCACACCGAAGCAGTTGGAAAGCACTACCCTGAAACCGCACGCTGTCGTGACTGTTAAAGTACTTGTTTGCGATTGCTTTGAGCCGTGCTTCTATTCTGCCTTGTGCCGTATTTGAGGTGACTTTAGTTCCTGGAGAGGCCTGGAGCCTAAAGGGGACACAGGATCGGATGCCAGGATCATACATGATTATGGGCTTAACGTGCCCTTTTCAGTAAGGATGGTGCCACCAGCAGCAAGCCTTCGAAGGCTCGCCAGGCCTGTTTCATTTTCTTCCAGCCCGTGCAACCACTGTGTGCTTATGTGAAGGACCCAGGCCCGACAATGCCCAAGGCCAGGAGTTATCAGAGTTGCAGAAGAGTCCTTGATGGTGACCTGCTGATTCGCTGACCTGAGTTGTTTTATTCACCAGGCTGCTTCCTCTCTTCCGGTTCCATTAAGTGACTTGTCAAGAAAATATAGAGTTGCATCGGGGAATGTTTGTTTTGTTTCGAGCATCAGCACCAGTCAAAAGCGTGAGCCTTGGCAGGCCGATCTGGAGAGAAGGCAAGTGGCGCCCCACAGGAGACTTGAGCACTTTTCTGTTGAGGCAGTGATGCAACACGAGAACAGCGAAATTCTCTTGCCCTTCTGTGTATATACATATGTATATGTATCACCACGCGCACCAGGATGACTCGTGAGACGAGCCCGGTGTTGTACTAGGCTCACAGACCTAAATACAAGAGGATGCCCCTTCGACATGCAAGTGAAACGCGACCTAGATGAGCGGAACGTCCCAAGACGCCAGTGTGCGGCCAGCTCCAAGCTCAAAAATCTGTGCCAGATGAATCAAAGCACCGTTGTCAACATAAACTTGTGCTCCGGTCAGGGAACCTTGTGGCATGGTGCGACCTGCAGCTTTGGCTAAGGCCGGGTCCAAGATCCCGGGAAATGCTTGCACATTATCAGAACGACCAAGCAAGACAACTGCTCTGCGGATCTTTTTGTGGTAGTCCAAGTATGTAGCATTGCAACTGTGCTCTTGCAACTTATAACCCAACGAATGAAACAAGGCTGTGAGTTCACACACAGAAGTGATGGCATCTGGGTGTACTTTCCAGCGCAAAGTCCGAAAAAACTCACAAAGAACTCGCCAATCCTCTGCTGTGCCTGACCAACTGGGTGGTGCCGGATGACACAGTGGAATCTTAGGTTGCCACTTGAAGGACGAGACTGAAGCATCCCAATCCCACTGTGCGAATTGCGCTTGGTATTGCCCCTGGTCAATGTCCGGTTCAGGTTCCGGCAGGCCCAAAGATAACGACGGTGTATTTGTGGGCAACAACTCATGTAATTTGACAAGCCACTTCTGGTGTTCCAATGCAGCCTTGTCAGCCCGGTGTTGGAGCTCCGGCTTCACAGCCGACAATGATGTGGCGAACTCCTTGGCTGTTAGATCAGCAATCCTGTTACGCTCAATGTGGCGCACTGAAGTGTGTCGACTAGCAGCCATGGTTTCAGTGATCTGAGCAATCGGCACATGTTCAAAGCAGTGAGCAGGGATCCAGGAAATGTTGACTGGCTGCGGGTGGGTTCGCTTTCTACCTTCAATCAGCGTGGTGAGAAAAGACCACCAAGCTTGGCACATCCATGTGGGGTCAGCCTTTCCATGGAGGCATAGATAGGAAACGTGCTCAACAACCGTCTTGTTGTCACAGAAAATGTGTACCCGGAAAGGTGTGAGCGCGCAGGCGATTAGCACACCCCACAATTCAGCAACATATGAACGCAAAGAAGGATAGTTGACCACACCCTTCTTGCACACCCGAAGATCTGCATCGACTACTGCAAACGTTGCAATGGTAATCCAGAAACGATTTGCCCACATGACTGAAGCATCGGTCCAAAAATCAACACAATGATGCGGCTGGAATGCAGGATCAATACTCGGCGGTACAGAACATAGGAGTCTTCTCCTTGCCAGAAAACCAGGTTGTTCCAAGATACCCATGAGGGCAAAATTCTGGCCGAGCTCATGAAGGATTGGTTGACCAATCATGGCATGAAGTGAGGAGCATTCATACACCAAGTGAGCAAGACTCTCCTTAGTTGCGTGGCAGAAACGGCACTGGGAGGAATCGACCCATCCTGCAGCAGACAGTCTGTCATTGGTGAGTACGCACCCAACAACAATAGATTGAAAACGCGTCGCTGGTGAGATGGTAGAACTGGAGGGGGGAACCCTCTCTTTGAGCAGACAAGTAGTAGCTTGGTAATCTAACAGTCCCTGGGGCTGAAAGAAGTCCTTACGGTTACGATGATCAACATTTTGGTACGCTGCCTGTCTGGCAAGCTGGACCATCAGCGGTTTAAGCTCACGTGGCTGGAGTTTCGTGAGATCAAAAGCTTGTGACCCCCGAAAGGAAAAGCCGAAATCTTGCCCAATTTCAATGTCTAGCGCCGAACATGCAAACTGGAGCCGGGACCACAATGAATGCGGATGCAACGAACTACCATGCATGGTATCTTTAAGAACTGGAATCAAGGCCGGTAACGTTTGGCAGCGTCTAGCAAATTCACAAATGGTAGACACCGCACAGGCGAGGACAGGGTCGGTACGATGAGGTTGACCATGTATGGCTTGAACAAGCCACTTAGCTCGCCATTTAGGCTTACCATTCCATAATGCTTTAATTTACCATTCCATAATGCTTTAATCACTGCTCCTTGGAGCTGAACCAATTCCCGTTTAGGGATCTGGGTGACGTGGGCTCCAAAGGTAACGCGAGGTATGACCTTGGCACCAATGAGAAGGTTTTTGACACGAGTCGGAATACGCAGAGCGCCAACGCGCGCAATATCAGCCAAGATCAAACGGTGCACACCTAAATCATAGTGGAAGGCCTTACGTGAACAAGAGTACATTTTGACACCTAGCACTTCAAACTCGAGTTCAACAGGGAATTCCGGGAACAAGGAACGAAGGCATTTTCGACCCTGCGAATGAGAAGACCACATAGCCGACTTGCCTGGGTTGAACTTTTGCCCTACCAGCATGTCCCAATGTTTCGTGATTTGGATGGCAGTGTCAAGTTGGTGGATGTTAATCAACTTACACCATAAATAAGAATCGTCAACAAAGGCCCTTGCCGACACCGCTGGCAGGTGTTCCAACGGGTGGTACCAGACTTTGTTGTACATGTTCATGGCGAGGAGCGACAAACTGCATCCCTGTGCCACTCCGTTGGCAGCCGTAGTCGCGATCGGACGCATCCAGTTTCGATACGCAAGATGGCGGTGAAGGCCACGGTAAAGCTTTAAAAAGAAGTTGACGAGTGTCCTCGGTAAGCCGAAAGCCAACATCAGCATGGCTGCATACACGGGAACGATTCTGTCAAAAGCTTTCGATTTATCAAGCTTAACACCTACGACCGGGGAGGATTCACACTGGGCAACATCAAGTTCCAAGCGAACTTCATTATAGAGAGCTGCCATGTACCGGTCCTGCACACCACCCAGAATAGCCGGAGGAAGGGTGGCAATCAACCAAGGTTGCAGTTGTCGATACCTACTCCCTGTGTACGCCAGGAGGAGAGCCGGCAACACTGTAATGATTCTCTTATTTAAGGCATCTGCTGGGCCCTTTTTATTAAGGATGCACTGCTTGGCACACACAAGGGCTTTAGGTAGAGGTTGGTTCGACTCTTCAATGTACGTGAAGAACTCCGCGATCGGTTGGAAACAAGGCGCCGGGAGAGCTTGAAGTTCTATCGTTCTCCAGCCGTCCAATCCCGGGGCGGCATGGCTTTTCCGGCGGTGAATCGTTTCGAATAGCTGCTGTCCTGTGATGGGAGGGAGTTCACACTGATGCACCTTGCTATGTATGCACGGCCAAATGGTCTCCAGGACCTTGAGTGGATCTTCACAAAGAACATTGGCCGAATAGACATCGTCCCAAGCTGAGTTGATTTGGTCCAAAGCAGGCCCTGGTTGATAGATGATCTGGCCAGTTCCGTCAAGGATGAGATTCGGGGGTTCATCCTGGGCACAGTTGCGCAAATGTTTGTAAATGAAATGACAATTACCTTTGGACGATTCCTTGATCTTGGTTTTCCAATTCTGCAGTCTCTTCAGCCGTATCTGTGAATCAAGTAGCGATGCGGCCGCTTCGGCCCATCGTCGAGCAAGAAAAACATCGGCAAGAGTCGGATCTGTAGGCGGAAACCACGACACTGGAGCCTGGCGCTCTTGAAGACCCTTAAAAGCACGAAAAGCAGTCTGTTTGGTATCGAAACGGTCTTGTGCGCCCCCTGGTTCTCGGGAGAGGCGACAGAACAACTCCTGCAATCGACCAACAAGTTTGTACAAGGAAGTTGATTTTTGTGTTGCTTTGGCACAACTCTTTTGGCAACAAAGACCGGTTCAGTGCCTCTCGTTTGAGGGCCTTGCCCCCACTGGGCACCCGTGGACTTCAAGGAATGAACAAGGAATTCATTGATGATCTCCCATTTACCTTCGCAATCATGAACAGCATCATGAACAGCATCATACCAATCATGTGACTCCGAATCCATCCATGTGGCAGTTTGGAGGGTATCGGGCAAAAAGGGGGCACTTTTGAACATTGTCTACCCAACCTGGTGGATGGAATGCCAGTGGAAAACAAGTTTGATTGGGCGATGCTGTTTACCAATCACAGGAACGACCTCGGCCGAGCGAAGGGCGCAAAATGCGCTCTGGTTGATCAAAGCCGCATCAATGGAGGATGTGGCATCCCGGAAAAGGTGCCATCCCTGGAGAATGTTAGAGGCCGATTGCTGTGCCCTGTGTTATCGACCTCTGCAATGGGATCAACCCACCCATGGAAGGCAACACAATTGGCAACCGATTCATAACTTGCAGGATCTGCCTGGAGGTCCCCTGCGACCACAACTGGGATCGGCCCAAATTGAGCAACAAAGGAAAACACATCTGCCAACAGCTGGTCATTCTTAGCATGTAGTGCAGGGTCTTGGGAGGCCCCGCGCATGCATAGAGAGAGACAACCAAGATCTTACATGAAGGGGAGATTTGAACCCACGCAGCACTAAACCGTTGTGTACGCATCAAAGAAAGAAAAAGGCCAGCTTGGTCGTGACATGCTTCGAACGGCTGAATGACCGAATCCGGACCTATGATGGCCGTACCTCCACAGGGAGTGATTGAACCAGACTTATGCCATTTCACTGGAAGGGGTTCACTTGTGACCATGCGCTGCCCAAGGGCCATGACAGCGTTTTGGGTGGATCGAATGTTAGCACGGCCAATGCGTGTTTCTTGGAGGCAACAGACATCCGCGTTCCAAGTTTTCCATGAACCATTGGTGCGAAACGAGCCCAGGTTGGCAGAAAAAAGGGTCATACAATCACTTGGGTTGCCGAAAGGTCCCTCACCAGGGTAACCAAGTGTACAGTCGAACGAGACTTGGACGAAAAGCGAAAGACCGCCAGAAACGAAAGCTGGGAGGTGCCAGCTCAGGTCGCAAAACCACACGAATTGAGGCTGCCGAGAGCCATGGCAAAGAAGAGGACACAGATCATCCCTGTAGCGTCGACAGGTATACCACATACGAACAGGCGCCAAGGCATGAGCCCAGCGGCTGCAAAGTATTAACCGGAGACCAGGGCGATCAGGAACGCATGTCGTTTCCCTACGGCTTAAGCACTTACGAAGCACCTCGAAATCCATCGTGCATGCTCGGGAAGAGAATGCAGACCCCAGGAGAAAAAACCCGGTGAAGCAGGGCCTCCACAGACGGGACAAAGACGAAACCGACGGAGCAAAGAGAACGAAAAGGATGACCAAAGAATGCCAGCGGCAAAACCAACCGATGGCGCTTTTGCACTGTGCAGGCCGAGGAGTTTTCCGACCCCACGGGTCATTAACCCAAACCGGATCAATGCCTTTGACTGGTGCACTCGAACCAGCTCCATGGCTTGGAGTTGAAGCATTGGCAGCAACAAGCGATGCCGAAGCGTCGACATGCATGTCTTGGACAGTACCTGCAGCATAATATGTGTCCGGAAAGCGATTGGACTTGACTCGCAGTAGGAACCAATCACGGATGTTGGCTGCAAAGACTGCAAAATCGGGTAGGCCCTCAGCACGAATCCATGTGTTGCGGGCTTCTCGTCGGACCCGAGCAATCAAGTGAGCATGTGGCCCTTGGGCCAGGAAATGGTCACGGACATCAAGCGGAGGTGGTGTTTGAAGCCCAAGGCGGTAGAAGACATTGGCCAAAAGATAGTATCCACACAGGTCTCTGGGCATCGTCTGGTCGACGAAGTCAATGGCAATGTTCTGATGGTCCAGCCCAAGATGACGAAGGAGCAGCTGAATCAAGGGCACATAAATGCATCGTTGGGAAATCGGCACTGAGGCAATGAAGACAGAGTCAGACCCTCGGCGGTAGCGCTCGAATTGTAGCCAGTGGTTGTTGTGGATGACCATCCAAATCACATGGTTGTACGTGCCATACTCCGGGATCAGGCCATTGGGGAATTCCAATGCACGTGTAGTCAAATTCCACACTGCCGGGGCGCAAAACAGGGTGGATGGCTGGATGATTCTGGCCACATCAAGGGAGAAATCCATTTCATCAGTTGCCATCCAGCCACTGTATGTGAGCATGTGTTCCAAGCGAGTAGCAACCCGGTTAGCTGCAACCTCTTCCGCAGAAAGCGGTGGAGTTGGCAGAGTGGACGATAGCGGCAACAGTCTGACTGGCCAAGCAGCGACGAGTTCTTTCTGTGGAATAGGGTTCTGCTGAGACTCTCTTCGCGCCAGGAAAACCAGAAACTTCTTGCGCAAAAGGGTGGCAAGATGAGCCAGAGGAGGAGGAGCGTTGTACGTTCTCCAGTCTTCCAATGCACACTCCATGGTCATTGTAATGGTGTCATGAAAGCGATCAGCAACACCAGCAAAGGATTCGGGCTGGAAGTCATCTGCTAGATCGAACAGTTGGACCCACCTCTGCACTAGGCGCCATCCACATAGATGGGGAAGATGCTCCTCATGTTCACTTGATGTCGACAGCCGATGAGGCGCAATGTCCAAGAGCCTAGCTACGACACGAGTTGCAGCATTTTGCAGGTGTTGTGGAAGTTGCACAAAGTTGAGATTTGCAGCGTCAGCAGTTCTGCGGATCTCGATGGCTGCCCAATGATCATCAACCAACACGCAAATCACATTGGTGGTATTGTTGAACAAGTAGAGCTCTCCAAATGGTGACAGCGTGAAGTCAGAATCTTGCTGGTTCCAGTAGACTGGTGCGGTGAACTTGTATGAGTCCTGCATGAACATGATGTTCTGTGTGATGCTCCACAGTTCATCTGCAGCGATCCACCCATGCGTGTTGCACATATACTCAGCTCGTGCTTGAAAGTCAGCGCCTGCAGCAAGTGTTGGTGTGGCACCTGAGGAAAGATGGTGACCCCCCGCACGAATCTCATGGCTTCTCTGGAGGCTCAAGAGGGCACCATTTTGGAGAGGGCCATCAAATTGATCACTCGGTGCTTCATTGATCCAGGCAACCTCATGTAGGAATCCTCGAAACTGGAAAGTGGGGAGAGGCCTCGAGGCACTGCCAACGATAGAGTGCATCACTTGCTTTTCTTCGGGAAGGCAAACAGTGACAGCAATGCCATCGCTCGGCGCTAGCTGCCCAAAGACATGGATGATGCGAAAGGGGGAGCTGGAATCAGCGACCCCTTCATGTGAGCCAAGGTCGTAATCAACCGCTCAGTGGATGAGAGCAATCGTTGCAGACCAGCAAGGACTTTGTCATAATTGGCGTGATTACAGTGTACAGCCAAGTCGGACAGCTCCTGGTAGCATGTGATGGACCACATACACTGGAAAGTACTCAGATCCTTTCACGAAGTCAATCGGTTTCATGATCTCAAGGAGCTTGACAAAGACTTCCGAACCCCCAAACATTTCTAAAGTTCCAGGGCGCGGCAACTCAATTGCATCATTCACAAGGTCGATGATGGGCACTGTAGCAGGGCGTGGACCCTTGATGGCACACGTAGTCAAAGGTTGATCAACTGGCTGCAAGATCATACGGCGCCGAAGAAGGCACACACGGGCAATGAGGAGATCCCAGTCATCAGCAATAGCCGCAAGCTCTCGCAAGCTCATCCTGATGCTGCCTTTGCTCCCGGACGAGATCAAAGAGCCCTGCTGGAAAAGTCCCTCAGGGCCATCAAGGACGGTAGTCAAAACCTCAATGAAAATGGCCGTGGATGTAGCTCGGGTCTCCAGGATCGTAGCCCCGGCATCAAGACTGAATTGAACCCGCCATTCACCTTGTCCTTGAGAGATGACCTTAGGAGTCAGGCACTGGTGCACTTGTGCTGAAGGCATGAGACGGACAAACGGACCTTGCTCGAAAAGAACGGCCGACTGGGCTGTCAGTCGGTGCTCCCATGCTTCTCTCATGATAGAGACTGGATCGATGGATTCAGGCAGTACTGCATACAGACCGACACAAATGCACATGACACTTTGTGGAATAGTGATGGCGTTGCCAACAACTTTGAACGCAAGCGAAAGTTTGCTCGGTAGCGCAAGTTCTGCAAGGAGACCGAACAGACTGCAAAAGTGGGCCGGATCGAGGAAGCAGTAAAAGCCATCCTGTTGCTTGAGAACTGCGAAGATGCCTTTTGTTTGCAAATGATCACTTGCCAAGTGGTGTTGGCTTGAGTACGAGGCGCACAGCGTAGGAAGCGGCTCGGTGTGGCAAGCGAGACGGCCCTGCAGGCCAGCATCAGGTCGTGTGGAGGCAACAATTTTTGCCCGCTTTGCTGCTGGAACAAGTTGCGGATCATTGTAAATGGCGGCTTCCGAACTGCTCAATCGTGCTTGTTCTGTCCAGACCTTAGGAAGGTAGAACTGATAGCAATCATCATTCCACGGGACTCTTGGCACGATGGAGCATGGCAGGCTAAATCCGAGAGGCTCTGCGGGGACATCGGCACGGACCCATACACATAACCACCTCATGCGACAGTGGTGAGCTAGCTCATGGTAAGGGACGATCTGCGACCAAATCATTCTGTACCCAAACATGGTAGCTATACACTGTACAAGCTTAAAATGAGCATGCGAAGCCAGTTCGTCCACACATTCGGCACATGCCAGGATGGGTTGCAGCATGAAAACTTGTTCCAAACCAGCTACAACGGACCATCCATTTGGGTCCATGAGACCCAATGATTTGCCACCCTTCGACCACGATTGGCACGGTGGTGAAAGCGTGCGCGCGAGGTTGACCTGGCATCTATGAACATACGGTATAGTGGGGTCGGCGACGTCGCCCACAATGGCAATCTTCCCAGCAGGATTCCAGGGTTCATTTGGTCGGATGGGACATCGAAGCAGCTCACACTTATGGCGGGCCTTGCGCAGCTGAAGGATCGTCTCATCATGGTCCACAAAAACCTGGCGTCCAAGGGCAAATCCGAAACCAGCATTCGGGAGCCATTCTATGGCTTGGCTCCACCCACAGAGGCCTCCGCAAAAAAGGTGGGTGCAATCCCACCCAAAAGTGCAGTCCAGCTCCGGGCGAAAGTGAACTGAGGCTGAATGAGCAAAGTTGTAAATGTGCAACTTCGGTGAGGAGAGCAATGTGCCACAACAGATCAACTGTGCACCTGGGCAAACAGGTATCGATCGTGTCGTAAGCTCCGGCATAGTGACCACAACCTTGTCAGGGACTGAGTCAGCTTGGTGGAAGCCTTTGCCTGGGGCAAAGGCGAGAGGCTTAAGCTCAATCGAATCACCTGCGCAGCATATAGCTTCACCAGCGATGAGTGCTCTTCCACACACCTGCAGCGGAAAGGTTGCCGCCGAAAGGTCATGAAGGAGAGACCTGAACATAGTCCTCGTCGATCCAGCAAGGACCTGGTCAGCCAGATCGAGCACCAAAGCAGTGTCCATGGCAAAGGAGCAACGGGCGGGTCACAAAGACACCAACACAAAGATGCACCGGGAGAAGAGTACGGACTCTTCCTCGTCGACACCGGTCCGAGTCCGCACTCACAGCCGGCCTAGGGCCCCCGATAGCCCGAGCTTTAGGGCCTTTGAACCCAGCGGCTATATGTATATGTATATATATATATACATATTAATCATATTTATGCGTTCTCTGTATCGTTCATGGGTGAGGACACAGATGGATCTGTTCTGGAGGCAGTGCTGCATCAGCGGAACAGCTTCAGACGCATCAAATTTGATACGCTTCATTCTCCGAATCTCATAGCACGCACGTTCTCACAGGATGTCAGAAGACAGCTTGAGGACGGTTCAGTGGGGGTCCTCTTGACAAAGCAACACCGAACTTGAAGAAAAGAAAATAATAGTGCATTTGTTATACGGGGCATCACATGAAACAGACGCACACGACAGTATTGACCTTGTGCAGCTGTGCGGCTGCGAGCAAGGTCTATGTGGGACAGTGCCGAGATAGCCTCTTCAATGGAGAGGCGCATAGAGTTTTATGGATGATTTCTTGGTCTTTATAGAGTCTGAAGATGAAAGTGAACGCAGCATTTTCCAGCCACCCTGGAATCTCTGCAGGGCACCTTGACCATGCCAGACGGTGCTGTTTACGAGGGCCAGTTCAAGAATGGAAAAAAACATGGGGTTGCGAAGTGCGCTGAGAAGATTGGGGAATTCTTGATGAACGTGGGGGCAAGGGTGTAAGATCTTTTCAGCCTTGGGCCATTGTTGCTATTCTTCACTAGGTATACCTACGCGAATGGTGCCGTCTATGAAGGCGAGTACAAAGAGGAGCCAGACAGTCCTCAGCGGCACAAGCAAATGCAGCACCGCAAGTCTTCTGTCCCACGCAGGACATGAAGGATGGTAAGGGCAGACTTATTTGCGATGGCATTGGAACTCTCGCCGAGGCACTGCTGCCTTCGTCCAGGTTTGAAAAGCATGGGCAAGCCACGTTTGTGCAGGCCTCCACCTATGAGGGTGACTGGTCGAATGACCTGCAGGCATGCCGTGCTGTGTAGCTTGTAGGTCACGAGTATTGAGGAATCATTTTTCTGTCAGGATGGCCAGGGCATTGAGCGGTGGGGTGATGGATCAATTTTCACTGGATCTTTCAAAGATGGCAGGACACGTTGCACTGTGTGGCACTTGCAAATTTATGTTCCTAGTTCTTTAGCTTAATTGTACTTCGTTTCACACTGGACGAAAAATGCACAGCCAGGAAGCACGGCCATGGAAAGTTTATGTGGGGTGAAGGTTGCATGTACGAGGCGGGCAGGGCGCCTGCTTAAGGGGGCCAAGCGGCCAAGCACACTCTTTTCTTCTCATCGCCGCATCGCCAGAATTCAAAGCGTGCCCTCCTGCAGTGAATCACTAGACAGCCCAGGGAAACTTTGCGAACAACGACATGCATGGAGAAGGCCAAGCAAATTGACAGTGACCGCCAAACAAGCCTCACAACAGGAGACATTTTAGATTTCCTGTAAATGCCTCTTGGACGTGAAGTCAGGCCGATATGTATGGGCTGATGGCCGCCAGTTCAATGGTGACTGGATAGAAAATCAAATGTGACAGCCCCAGCACGCAACATTACATTTACTTGAAAGGAGCAAAATGGATTGAAGCCAGCCCATGAGCTCCTGCGCGCCAGTGCGTGGCACAATTTGCTTTCAGATTCTTGAGCAGTGCCGCTCAATAAGGCATGGGGCAGGAACCATGAGATGGCCTGATGGGAGGATTTTTGAGGCTGGCACAACATATGTATAGTATGTTCATATGTGACTCAGACATGCCCACAGTACGCTTGAGTCAAGACTTGGGTCCTGATGGTCAGGGTGAGTTCAGCCATGGCAAGAAGGCGAGTCCATCTGCACACTGGGCCTGACGAAGCTGCTGGTGCAAGACAAGACTAGCAGAGACATGCATGCAGAGACCAATGAAGTCTTCTAGGATTTTCTGGGATTTGTATCATGCACTTTTTATGCTTTGAAGCTTTAATCAGGAAGGTGAGGGAACCCTCACCTGGCCGGTTGAGGGCTGAGACAGACTGGCACAGGTATGCAGACATGACATGTTGTCGCACAAATCCGAGAGAGTCGAGAAGTGGAAAGGTGTAAAGTGTCAAGCATGTAAAATCATAAAGTGTTTATGTTGTAAGGGAACCTCTTTCGTAAAGCAACGGTTTTTCGCTTTCCGAACCAGAGCATTATTGTATCCTTGTCTTTCGTTGCTGTCTATTTCCTTCTCTAGACTCACTACTAAGCTCTACTTACCACTTCCCTCACGGCCTACCCTGACTTACCACTTCCGCCCAAACATGAGACATAATTAGAAAGAATAAACACCTATATATTTAAGTTTCCCTAAAACTCTAGGAACCAAATTATTGGTGCGAGCGCTTCTTCAAGGAAGCTCCCACCCGCCCTCAGGTGACGGGAGCTTCCTTGAAGAAGCGTGAGCTATACTGCTAGCTTGTTTACTCCCTTAATTAAGTAGGCGCCGACTTAACTAATCGGCCTAAAGAAAACAAGAAGGGATATCTTTTTGATGCTCTGCGGAAACCTGAGGACGGCCGGACTTACGAAGGCCAGTGGGTCGCAGCCTCAAACCTTCTCGATTCTCTCTCGAAGCGCCGGCATGACTCCGCTGGTAAGGCCAACGGAAAGCAGCATGGCATGGGTGTGGTGACAACTTCCAAGGCATCTCAGGGCATCTCCAGGTTGCCTATGTTTCCTCGACGCTTTTGGATTCTGCAAGATTTGTCAACCGGAGATGTGGACGCACACTGGATGACATAACGCTTTCCATGCAGGGAACAGGGCGAAAGAGCTACTGGAAGGACGGCAAGCGGCATCCCTAGCCCTGCTCAAAAAGTAATGGGTGTTTCTTGAAGTGTTCATTGGCCCAGGTTTGTCAACTGGGTCAACACCAACTGAACTGGCAAAGAAGCTTTGCAGCAAGGCTGAGTTGCTGGACCTGTAGGCAAGAACTCATTCATGTAGAAAATCAGTTGCCAGGTTGGAGGTTGTCCCTACCAGCCAAGCTGATTCGCCGACCAGACGGTCCTTTGTGAGCAAAGAACTCTCGACTACAGTAAATCTTGAGGCCAACCATCTCAAGGCCAATCTTGAGGCCAATCTTGTGAACGCATCGACAAGACTTTTTTCTTTCTTTCGGTGCCTCACATTTATAAAACACAAGTCGGCCGCTGTTGGCCTGCCGGAAATTCTGTGGAACGTCGAACAAAATGGCAGACGCCTTCCAAGCTAGTGAAAGGCACACGCAGAGAGCGCAGCCTGTGCGCAGTCTTCAGCCAGTATTCTTCCTGCCAGAGCTCAAAGAGGTTATATAAAGACCTGATTGATGATGCAAAGTTTGCAATGAACATGGAAGATAAATCCAAAGACCTTGGCATTCAGGCGGATTCAGAGTCTACTTCCTTTTGTGCAAGTGCTCTGGAGCTTTTGGATTTACCTGTGGACAAAGCAGTACGCCCAAGGCGTCGTGTCTCACAGCTGTTTCACAGCGCTTGGCTAAGCAGAAAGCTCATGGGCACAGCCATGCTATGCAAGGGTTCTTCTTCTTCGATGTCGAAGGACACACAGCTTAGCCAAGTGGTTTGGCATTGCCGCCCAGCATTGCCGCGTGTAGTAGAGTAGTGCGAGATTCTCCCGAACATTTGTGCCGGGTGGGTCAAAGTCAAAGCCGAAAAAGAACCAAAAGAACACTCAGTCCGTTTTGCGGATGCGGATCGTGGTGCAGTACCAGAGCTTTACCTGCATCCTCACTCTTCTGCCTTTTCCAAGTTGTGCAAAGCGATCAACAGATCAACGTAATGCTTGTCCAGGCATTGTCTCTTCTCAATTACACTTCCTTGCTTTTCCATATTCCTGAGACTGGATTGCACACCAAAGCAGCGCTTCTTACAGTCCTGAAAATAGACCGTAGAGCAACACTTCCCAACATAGTTCGGCCATGTACTAGCTAGCATCATGGCTCTACCGCCGAACTGGGAGAGGTGCCAGCGTGCCAGCTCGTGCTATTTCTGTAGAGTGTGCAAACCAAACAAAGTGCCTTGTGCTTCTCTTCGGAGGAACGGTCTTTCCTGGAACATCACTTGTGGCAGGTACACCACTGAGGATGGGAAAGAGTACTTTCACAATGCTAGCAGCCCAGAGTTGGCTTTGTAAAGAGCACAAGGCTGACAGTTGACCAGAATATCCGCAGTTCTCGTTGAGCGAATGTGAGGCAGCGTTGAACAAGACGCAATGGGAGCGGCCAAGCTGCGATGAGGCCCGGACCTCAGACTTTCGTCCAGACAGCAACCGAACAAGAGTTTTGGGGGAGAAGGGGCTTGCCTTGTAGAAAAGCTGATTGCCAGACAAGCATCAAGACACTGAGAACTGATCCGGCAACCAATTTCACTTTGGCAGTCCACTGAGTCGTGAGGTGCCTCTTGCTAGCCTGAACACATCTGATGCCAGAACCACAGACCTGCCCAGAGAGAGGGAGGGGGGGAGAGAGAGAGAGAGAGGGAGAGAGAGAGAGAGAGAAGGAGAGAAGGAGAGAAGGAGAGAAGGAGAGAAGGAGAGAA